AGAGACAGAGACAGAGACAGAGACAGAGACAGACACAGAGACACAGAGACACAGAGACACAGAGATAGAGACAGAGAGCCTCTTTTTGTTATAACTTAGCCAGTCCATGAGGGCTTTGTTCTGTGGTACTGGAGTTCAAACTTATGATCTCATGGTCAAGTGCTCCACCATTACATTGTTTCCTCAGCCCCTTACACAGTCAATAGTTTTGTTATTACCAAAAGAGGATGGACTAAAAATATGTTGAGAAAATGGAGCCTGAATTCCTTCCAAGCATTCCCTCTCATTTTATAGCTCTGATTCATGCATTTATGGAAACTATCTGGTTCTGTGGGTTCTTGACTCCCTACTTCATGGCAGTGTTGCTTGTGCTATGGAGCAGTTATGAGAATTAATCTGGGAAGTCATTAAAACTAGAGGTTTCTAAATTATCTCCATAGCCATTCACGGTTGTACCACTCTTTCCAGTTTGTTCACTGCTCTCGGTATCTACACCCTTATATGACACCACCTCATGTTTCCCTGGGCTTCCATGTGACTGCTTTGACCCACAGTGTATCAGCAAGTGTCACACACAGAGACTGATGAGGTGCTGGTCCTCTGAGATGCCATGCTAATGAGACTAAGCAGGCCACGAATGAAACATGTAGCCTTGTCTTTTTGTTGGATCATTCCAACCAATGTCCTAGACTAGCCAGAATTTGTCCATCCTAAGAGCTGACAATAGTATCTAATTGAGCATGCCCAAGGCACCCTCCAACTGAGCCAGAAAATTTTGAGCTAAATAAATAAATGGTTGTTTTAAGCCATTAGGTTCATGGGGCTTTTATTTAGATGCTCATGATATTTTTATTCTTAGTGATATGATCAAAACTATCAACAAACTAACATGGCATTGCTGCTCATTTGTGTTTGTGGGGTTTTGTTTGTTTGTTTGTTTTGTGTGTGTTTGTGTGTGTGTAGAGAACCAGAGATCTATTCTCTTAGCAAATCAAGCCATGGAGACTTGAAGTCATTTCTGGAGCAGCACCTGATAAAGACACAAGATTTTATAGTTGCCAGGCATTCTTCAGTCATATTTGATGGTATAGTAAGGTCTAAGACCTTGTGGTAGGTTTGCTTCCATTACTATAAGCTCTTATTGCCTTTCCTGAAAATGTCATCATGTGGCCCAGTTGTGACCTTGCTGAGGGGACACAGAGTGTAAAGGATGCCCTTGTATTCAGTTTCCACAGAAAATAGTGCCTATAAATGCTAAACTGCTCCAGGGTTTGGTATTTCCCAGGTTAATCCAAGAGACAGATGAGGTCCATCTCTTTGGCCCCTTAAAAAATACAAAAGAATAAATTCCAACTTATATGGCCCATGCTCTTCTAGGTGTATCACCATTTGCTGGATTATAGTTGGTCTACTTTAGACAACACCCTTAAATAAAATTGACTAGCCCTCTCCCAGCAACTATCAATTGCTAATAGTCAATTAAATAAAGTAGAACTTAGTACCCACATTCCCTCGACATGCTGGGATTTTTGTCTAGCTTGAGCTCGTGCAGGTTTTTTACATGCTGTCTCAGCTGCTGTTTATCTTAGTTTGTTTTTTGCTGTTGTGATAAAATCCTGACAAAAAGCAACTTAGGAAGGAAAGGGCTAATTTTATCTTACTCTTTCAGGTAGCAGTTCATCACTAAGGGAAGTCATGGCAGGAACTCAAGACAGAAAGCTGGAGGCAAGAACTGAAGCAGCAACCACAGAAGAATGCTGTCTCCGGGGTTGCTTTCCCTGACTTGCTCAGATACTGTTCTTATACAGTCCAGAACCACATGGCTAGGGATGACCACCCACACTGGTCTGGGACCTCCTACATCAATTGGCGATTGAGAAAATGCTCCACCATAGATATTCTCACAGGCCAATCCCTTGAAGACAATTTCTCAACTGAACTTCCATCTTCCCAGGTGACTCTAATTGTGTCAAGTTGACAAATCTTAACAGCACAGAGTTCATCTGTGCACTTGCCCTGTTGTGTCCAGAAAACACTGTTTCAATGAGGTCATACACTCCCTTTGGCTTGGGTAGTCCCTTGCCCTTCTACGATGACCTCTGAGCCTATGGAGGGGGAGCTATGATGTAGATGTACCAGTTAGGGCTGAGCACTCCACAGTCTCTTACTTGCTATACCTTGGCCTGTTATGCATCTCTGTGTTAATCACCATCTACTCCAAAAAGAAGTTTCTCTAATGAAGACTGCAAGATGTACTAACCTATGGATATAACAATAAGTTATTAGGGGTAGATTTAATATTATGTCCACTTAGTGGTATGTTATCCCCTGGGGCCTATGAATTTCTAGCCATAGGTTCTTGACCCCAATACTAGTGCTGGTTATGTATTGTCCTATTTTTTAAAATTGGTTGGTTACTCCTATAACATTCATGCCATTATTGCACAATAGACATGTATTGTCAGGCTAGTCGTAAGTGTAGCATGCCCTCTCTCAGAGTTAACAGCTGGGTAAGAGTGGTGATTACTTTTCTTCTCTAGTAGTGTGCACAGCATCTTCAACCAGTATCCCTACCATGTAGGGATGAAGCTTACAGCTGAATACCAAATGAATCTCTCTACATCCTATGATTTAAGATTGTGGTGTCTTCAGCGATGGCGTCTTATCATCAAGTTCCAGAAGGTAACAAAAGAGCACTGGCAGTAGCCTGGTTATATTTGATGGTCTATGGAACTCCACTGTGCAACAGCTTCAAAAAGGTAACCAATTTCTGGCACTGTTCTTTATATTTGTTTGTCTGGATGGCTAGTAGGAACATGGTCCTACTAGATAGGGTAATCTACTAGATAAGGTAGCTCCATTAGACTTTTTATATATGAATATGTATATATTTTAGGAAACTTCTATAATAGTGAATTTTATATTACTTTTTCAAAAGGTCTTTAGTGTTACTTATCCCTCTCCACTTCCCTCTTCTTCACTGTCCTCCCATACCACATTTACTCCTTCCTGTTCCATTCTTCCCCTTTATATCACTGTCTCTATCTCCACTCCTGTGAAAGCCACCCCACTCCTCCCATGGTCCCTTAGTAGCTTCCTGACCTCTATGAGTTTTCCAAGTAAAACACACACATCTAAATATCAAAGTTAGAATACACAAATGAAAAAATAACATGTGACATTTGCCTTTTGGGGTCTGAATTGCCTCACTAAGAATAACTGTTTTCAGTTCTATCCATTTACCAGAGAATTTCATAGTTTTGTTTCTCTTACTATCTGAGTAAAAGTCTACTCTGTAAATGTACCACATTTCCATTATCTGTCCATCAAGTGATGGACATAATCTTAAAAGACCTAGCATAGCCAAAATCAAATCTGAACAATTAAAAAAAAACATGCTAGAGGTATCAGCATCCCAGATTTTAAGTTATATTACAGAGCTATAGTAATGAAAATAGCTTCGTACAAGCATAAAATAGACACATAGATCAACAGAATAGAAGTGAGGACCTATATATAAACCCATAGTCATACAACCACCTGATATTTTTCAAAGAAGTCAACAATATATTTTGGGTGGAAAAAGTATCTTCAACAAATGGTACTGGTCAAATTGAACTGTGTAGAAGAATGAAACTAGATTTCTCATGCTCCCAGACTGGACTTTAGTTCCATTTGGCCAATATCCCTAAGAGCCTTCTATTCAGCAGCCCCTGGAAAAAAAAGAATTGCAGAGTAATCAGGTGGTTCTCTACTGAAGTCACAGTTGAGTGAGAATCCTGGGCAAAATCAGCCACACTCAAATCAGTGAGAATGATAGAAGCAGGCCACTCAGGCAGTCTCATAGACATGCTGTATGCAAATACTCAAGTCTGGCCCTGTTGAGTGCACCAAGAGATGAGTCTTTTACACCAAAGCCTTTAGCAGCTGCATTGATCCCATCTCTAGCCCCAAGCTTCATCCATTTAGGATGCCAACACCCTGTTGCCAGAAACCCCACTACTCTGGGGACTGGCTTTAGAGCTAAAGCCACTTTGCTCTATACAAAAGAGAAGAAATTAGTGTTCTTGGAGAACACTCTCTACCAGTGGCCACTGAAATAATCCCTCCCTCACCCAGGGGATCAGCCTTGATGCATGCTTCACATTGGCTGCCAGAGCCCCCAGCAGAACAAAGCTCCAGGTACCCACAGTGGAGACTTATTTCTTAACCCTTCTTCCTGGCCTACCTCCCACACCCCTACAGCTGTGTTTTTACCTCTCAAGTAAAGCACTTGCCTTGATATCCTTCTAACAGAGTCTTCTGGGGATAACTCAACCTAATTTTTTTAAATGATTTTTTCTTTCTCTTGAACCCTGAAAACCTCTTACTTTACTAAAGGGGCCTGGCTCCTGCATGTCACAACCCAATCCCTGGATTAACCTTGCTGTAATCTGAACCCACCTAGTGTCTAGCAACTCACTAATTCTGAGTTTGCTACATCTCCTGAACCAGTACTGTTAAGGCCAAGTAACCTATAGTGAGCTTCTAAAGCCAGTTTGGTTCCTCCTCATCCCTGATAATGATGCTTTGTCCTATACCACTGCCATGAAAACCCTGCCTATCTTTCCTCATCCTCATTTAGCAGGAGGGAGGGATTTGGGACATCCTAACAAGGTTAACAGTCAACATCTGGAATTCAACCAGTCCTCCACTAATGCCCCTCTGTTTCTCCTCACTCCTCCATGGTCTCCCTGGCTTGAAGATTGCTCTTGTCTTCTGACCTGGATCCTCTAGAAGGACGCTCACTGAGGCTATTTGCCTTTGGTCATTTCCACTCCATTCAGCCTGATTCAGATGTGGCTCCAGGTTGTAAGCTTAGCAATAAAGCAGCTATTTCTGATCTATTTGAGGATTTTGGTCAGTGCAAAGCAATACCCAATGGGACAAGCCCCATGATGGGGAAGTACAGAGGACCATAGGAACAAACATGAGGCATATAAGAATGATATAAAACCTGTATGAAGAATTGTCTAGAAAGAGTGCGGTGGAAGGAGTTTCTAGTTCAGAAAGCACCATCATCAAAGGCCAGAGGGGCATAAAACACCTTTCAGTGAGCACCATATTACACAGATTGTAGTAATGCAAGAGGTTATCAACGTCTCATAATATGTTCTTCTTTCTGCTGAGGCTAGAATTTAAATATTTAAGCATGTAAATGTAGCTGGAGTTTTCCTGCCTTGCCCACAGTCAGGACAAATCTTTGTCACCTGCTAGTCCCACAGCCGCTCAGACCCAACCAAGTAAACACAGAGACTTATATTGCTTACAAACTGTATGGCCATGGTAGGCTTCTTGCTAACTGTTCTTATATCTTAAATTAATCCATTTCTACAAATCTATACCTTGCCACGTGGCTCGTGGCTTACCAGCACCTTTACATACTGCTTGTCCTGGCAGAGGCTGGCAGTGACTCTTTCTGCCTTCCTGTTCTTTCTTTTCTCCTCTCTGTTAGTCCCACCTATACTTCCTGCCTAGCCACTGGCCAATCAGTGTTTTATTTATTGACCAATCAGAGCAACACATTTGCCATACAGAACATCCCACAGCATGTAGATGGTTGGTTAGCTCCCTCGTAAGCTTTGTTTATACAGAGAATCTTATCTCTGAGCTTCTCCCTCCACAGTGCCCCTTTTCTGCAGAGGATGAACACTATTATCCACAGAACCACTTTGAAGACATTGGAACAGTACAATAGTTTCATTGAGCCTTCTGTATGTTGGTGGCAAAGAAAAAAAAGTCTGAGCTTCAGGGCATCATGGGATTTCATTCCTGAGTCATTGCTCTAGGTAAAGGCTAGAATATTTGAGTCAGTCGATTAGAAAACCAGCAGAGAGGACCCCCACTTAATGACTTGCTCCACTAGTGAAACACCATAGTTATAAAGTCACAAACACAAAGGCAGGTGGTAAACAAGAAACCCCTAGAAAGGAAGCCCCACTTACACCAACATCTCTAACAGCTCCAGCCATGAGATAAGTCTGTCCCTCAGAGGTGGGGCCTGCCAGACACTCCTCAGGACTCCTCAAGAAACAACTCGGGAGGACACTGGGTCTGAAGAATTCGGGTGACTTGCCATTCCTTCTTCTCTGTCATGTCTGCTTTCTGTCATAGGAGTGATGCTGAAAGGAGTGGGAAGTGTGCTCCCCAGGGAGAAGCACAAGGTGGAATCTCATCATCCAGGTGAGGAAACAGCAAGAGTCAGTGAAGACGCCAAAAGATGAGTGCCAGGCTCATCCATGCTGGTGAGATGGTGAGAGATGACAGAAGATGAGTGCCGGGATAATCCACACTGGTGAGATGGTGAGAGAGAGCAGAAGATGAGTGCCGGGCTCATCCATGCTGGTGAGATGGTGAGAGATGGCAGAAGATGAGTGCTGGGCTTATCCACACTGGTGAGATGGTGAGAGAGAGCAGAAGATGAGTGCCGGGCTCATCCACACTGGTGAGAATCTGAGTAGACAACAAGCTTTAGAAGGGCATTTTCTATACAAATTTGACAATCTTTAAAAGGGGGAGTTTTTCTTAATCCCTACAAACACATATACAGAGAGAGAGGGGGGGGTAGGCAGAGATACAAAGAGGCACACACACATATACACACACACTTTGCTATGGTGATATTTTATTTGTACTGAAATGTGATTTTATTTGTATGTTAATAAATAAAGTTTCCTGGGGGACAGAGCTAATAGCAAGCCATAGCAGAAGTCTGGCAGTAGTAGCACCCTTAATCCCAATCACATGACAGGCAGATCTCTGTGTGTTCAAGGATACCATCAGCATGGAGACACACGCCTTTAATCTCAATACCAACCATAGAAGATCTGGAGGTCTGTATAGATGGGCAGTGACGAGGAGGTCATGTGGTTGGGTTTACAACCAATGAGAAGGCAGAATAGAAAGTCAATAAAAAGCACAAACACACAGGAAGTAGGTCTCTTGCGGAGAGGTAGGACAGCAGTGGCAGTGAAGGGTAAGGTTTTTAATCTCAGCTCTTAGCTATTGCTCTGACCTCTTGGCTTTTAACTCTGTATTTGGCTCTGTGCTTCTTATTTAACAAGACATCTACACTTTGCCCTCCTTGCAACCAACCATCCCCTAAACAGTTGTTCTCATACCCATAAAAGACTGACGGTCCTCCAAGACAGCCACCTCCCACCAGGTACCTTCTGAGTGACTGGAGAAAGAAATTCTAGAGCTGCCTTATCCAGAAATAGTGAAGTGTCATAGAAAGGATGATGCCAGACCCATTGAAATGATGGAAATTGACCAGACCAAATCATGCCTGGGAACAGGGTTTAGTGGAAAACTGCTTTTACCCAGTCTTTAACTTTTTCCACCTACTTTATTAACCCTAACACTTCCTGTTGTCTTAGGAATTTGCCTGGCATGGGTTCTTTCTGCCATATCAGCCTTGCCCATAGTTCACATTGACCTGATCTTTAGAAAGAAGAAGCCAAATCCTTGACAACCCCTGATTTTATGTTTCCCTGACTGTCCACTTTTTATGTTTCCATCTTCTACTGTGTCTCCAAACACCTCCAGCCTCTGTCCTTGAGAATCCTAGAGAGACCCTATCCAATGACTGTTTCACATTCATTGTAATGCTGCACTAGAGAGAAGTATAGGAGATAAGACTCTGCAAACACCTGATGGAGATACAACTGCCATGTGTCCATTCACCAAAGAAGGACCACAGCACCCACTAAAAGGGAAAAGCGGTGGAGTGTTGCTGGAGGGCTTCTCTCCAGGTTCCACCAAACCCCGCAGTCCCACAATCCACATATAAAATAATCACTCAGATGCTTATATTACTTATAAACTGTATGGCCATGGCAGGCTTCTTGCTAACTGTTCTTTTATCTTAAATTAACCCATTTTTATAAATCTATACCTTGTCAAGTGGCTGGTGTCTTACCGGCATCTTTACATGTTGCTTGTCCTGGCGGTGGCTGGCAGTGTCTCTCCCTCCTTCTTCCTGTTTCCCCAATTCTCCTCTCTCCTTGTCCCATCTATACTTCCTGTCTGGTCACAGGCCATCAGTGTTTTATTATATAGAGCAATATCCACAGCAGTGGAGACTGCCTTGGGTAGGAACTGGCATTGGTCTCATCTCTGTGCTGCTAACACCCAGTGTCACAGTAGCCATATAGAAGTGGACCATGATGTCCCCTAGCCAATTATGCCAAAAAATTATCTAACAAACCAATTTCTCACATTGCCAAAGTCCCCATGTGAATGTATTGGTATGTGTATTGATTTAGCTATTAAGTATTAAATTCATACTAGAAGAAGGTTAAGTAAACTATAGCACACAAGCCAAATCCATCCAGTTTCTACCTTTGCACTCTGAGAAAGCTAATAATAAGGATAAGGTTTGAATATGCCCCCAAAGTTCACATATCGGGACTCAATCTGCAGGATTTCATGTGTCAGTGATATATGACGAATGGAATCTGCTTGTTCTGCCTATACTATACTTCCTGCCTGGCTACTGGCCAATCAGTGTTTTATTTATCAACAAAATCAGAGCAGCACATTCACAGCATACAGAACGATATCTACAGCAGAGAGGCCTCATCCAACATCCTTGCTCAACCTCACCTGTCATATCCTCTGCAATGTCATAATGCAATAAGCAGGCCCATACCAGGTGCCAAGGAGACCTAGTGCCACCATCTTGGACTTTATAGGCTCTAGAACCCCAAGTCCAAGATGCTCCTTATCATTATGAATTATTCATTCTGGGGTATTCAGTTACAGGGACAGAAAAAAATAGATCAAAATAATTTATTTTCACACATTTGAATGCTTGCATTTTAGATGGTCAGATAAGTGCGTGCATAATATTAATCACTGTGCTCCTTGGCGAGCAAAACCTGAAATATTTGTTCTTGACCTTTCTTAGGAAACCATTGCCAACCCATGTTTCAGAGCAACGACTCTTAATGGAACCAAAATAACAGAAGGGAACATCATAATCTTTGAGTAGCCGTTAGGATAGACTTAGGTGGCTGAGAACATACAATCTGGCCTATAATCTAGGACCTTTAGTTACAGCCATAGACAAGAGAATCCTTGAAACATTAATGAAGATTACTGTGGACAGATCTCATTGAACAGTAGCAAAAATAGAAAGTTAAAATTAATTTGTAGCACTTTAGTAGGATGAGAATTTAGATGATAATAAGAAAAATTACCTAAACCAAGATAAATATCAACATACAAAAACATAATTTGTACTTGTGTCCATTGGGACTGGGTTCCACAACTCTGCATTTTGATTGGTTGTGGTTTTCTGTAGTAGTATCCACTTGTTGCAAAGAGAAGTTTCCTTGATAAAGGTAAAGACTACACTTATCTGTGGGCACAAGAATACTTCTGAACCTCAGGCTCAGAGAACATTGTGGAAAAGGGGTCAGAAAGATTCTAAGAGCCAGAGGATCAGGGAGTTTGCTTGAGATTATGCTTCCTAGTAATATCAGAAGGTATGCCCATAAAGTCTCACCAATATGACTTCCAAGCATGGGCAAAACAAGGACAATACAATAGACTTACCAAAATGGACAGCGGTAATTATATTACAATCTCAAAAATAAATTTAAAAACATAATGCTGGTTGAAAACAGAATATTCAGAGTATTCAACAAATTTTAAAAACTGTTTATATAAATTTGCCAATGAAATTTCAAAATGACATCATATGTTTTTATTAGAGGTGTGTGTGTGTGTGTATGTATGAGAGAGAGAGAGAGAGAGAGAGAGAGAGAGAGAGAGAGAGAGAGAGAGAGAATGAAGCTCAATAAACTAAATAAACTATATATACCAAAAACTTCCTCTGGGACAAAAAGTAAAGAGAGACAAAATCGAACTGAAGTAAGAATATAGAGTGAGTTGATAAACAAGACTAAATGAAATGTGGGTAGCCAAAAAAGCACCACCTGTAAATCAACAATATTTTGTCTTTAAAACACACAGACACGCAGACACAGACACAGACACACACACAGACACAGACACAGACACACACACACACACACAAAAGGAAAAGAGTTAATACATATTCTAATTAAAAACCAGGTACTTGTTTTATGATTCTGGCCTCTGAATTTGAGACAGCGTGTTCTAGAACTGCCAGGGTTTTGATGTGCTCTCACTAGCTTAATTTATTTTAAAATTTTTGAACTTCTAAAGAACACCATGAGATTTTAATCTAATCAAAAAGAGCACAAATATCTAAAGTTTGAGAACTTCTGCTCTGAAACAATAGCTTTTGATTCTGAAATCAACTTTATTTAAACAGAATTTACACATAACACATTACCTCACTAACCCCATTGTCTCTGCAGCTCATGGGATGCTTTTCACTAATTATCTTCAGAGAAATTGCTTTAAAGGATAAGCTCATCCACTCAATCCATCTGCACCAATTGTTCTCTTAATTATTCTTACCATTTCTGCCTGCCCCACTTATACCACCATCAGTGGATTTACATGATTTGCTGTCGTGGTTAGGGTTGCTCCTGCTGCAATGAAACATGATCAAAAGCAACTTGGGGAGGAAAAGGGCTTACTTCACTCACAGTTCCATATACCCGTTCATCATCAAAAGCAGTGAGGGCAGGAGCTCAAGCAGAGCAGGAACCCGGAGGCAGGAGCTGATGCAGAGGCCACAGAGGCTGATGCTTACTGGCTTGCTCCTCATGTCCTGCTCGGCCTCCTTTCTTATAGAACCTGGGGCCATCAGCCCAGAAATGGCACCACCACCAACAGGCTGAGCCCTCCTCCATCGATCACTAATTAAGAAAATGCCCTACAGCTGGATCTCATGGAGGCATTTTTCTCAATTGAGGTTCCCTTAATTCAGATCATTCTAGCTTGTTGTCATTCATTGCTAAGATTTTACTCATACCCCTCCCACTCTCCTAAAAGCTATCTGTTGTCACTCTTTCTGGGCTCCTCAAAATTAAAAGACAATCGCCAAGACTTGGAAGATCATCATTAAAATCATTAAGACAGTATATTCATCATGATATTTAAATGGAAGCTTTTTCAAAAAATAAAATTTCTTTTAAAATATTTTAATTATGTAATGTCCTTCTTGATCTCTTTTGATTGATTTTAGTTTGAAGTCTATTTTGCTGGATATTAGGGTAGCTACACCAGCTTGCTTCTTAAGACCATTTGATTGGAAAGACTATTCCTAGCCTTTTATTCTGAGGTAGTGTCTATTTTTGAAACTGAGGTGTGTTTTTTGTATGCCAAACACCCTAACTGTCATGATAGACCTCTCAACCAGTGACTGGTGGAAGCAGATGCAGAGATCCATGGCCAAACCCCAGGTGGAGCTCCAGGAGTCCAATCGGCAAGAGAGAGGAGGGATTATATGAGCAAGAGATATTGAGACCATAATTGGAAAAAGCACAGGGACAAATAGTCAAACTAGTGGAAACACATGAACTGGGAACCAGTAGCTGAGGCACCCCCATCGAACTGGACCAGGCCTTCTGGATAAGTGAGACAATTGATGAGTTTGAACTGTTTAGGAGGCCCCCAGGCAGTGGGACTGGGACCCGTCCCT